GTCAGTACCTGTGGTGACCAGTCTGGACTTGTCTTCCTCGTCTCCCACCTCCTCTTCCTCCACATTTCGCCCCGGAAAGAAGAAGCCCATCATCCTTTTGAAGAACTGGTACATCAGCTGGATGGTGAGCGGCACCACGTTCACCTGCACACACGGACAAGGTGACGCAACGGCCTTAACCCAAACGCCAAGAGACACAGGCTCCGTTCTGCACCGGGAGGGGGGGGGGACTCACCTCAAAGTGCTCTTTGACAGAGATCCCGCCCACAGGGGGGCGCACTTTGCTGAAGATGCGAAGGGCCAGCTGTCGACCTGACTGACAGGGGCTCTGGGGCCGCAGCACCACCTGCAACACAGACACAGCGGCGCCCTTCAGGCCTGGACGGACCCCCGAGCGGGACAGCCCGATTCAGGCGTCTGCTGCCTCCACATGTTTTCAGGGGACTGTGTTTTTTTTGGGGGGGTGATTTCCTGGTTGCCCCGTCACTAGCTGCAATGAGGCTCAGCTGCTTCCAAAAGAACAATTACTCACACTCAACCCCAGCTCCTAACGCATATCTCTTGCGCAATTCTGTAACGGGAACATAAAAGGTGAGGGAAAGCATTTTCAACTAACTGCCCTTCTCAACTTATTTTTCTTTTGAAGGCAAACAGCAGTTTCTGAGAGCAGACCATAAGGAAAGTCAGGAGATGCAACAAACTGTGCCTTTACCGAGAGAATGCCCTGTGTACTGCTGGGGTACAACTGGGGTGAATCAAGTTTGATTTGTATATTGGCAATAAAAAAAAAAAGGTACAACCAGCTAACAAGGCTGATGTGGACATGATGTAGAAATGCCAGCGAAGCAGCAAAGAAGCGCAACATCCTAACATACAGTATTTAAAAAGACAAGTCTAACGGGCCGAGGGAGGCTGTGGCCAAACACTCAGGGGTTCCCACGGCAACGGTACACACCAGACAGAGAGCTTCCAAGATGGACGGAAATCAAGCAGATCGACAGACGACATGAGGAAAGGAGGTGAGAACTGGCCTGAAAGCAGTTAATGAGCTCGACGTGAAGAGGAAATTAAAAAAAAAAGGCTAATTACGGGAGCCATGTGCATGCTAGTGTTAGCGGTACCATACATACCCTCACATGCTGCACAAAGGAAACGAAGCAGAGAGATATTACTGGAGAAGTCTGCACACCACACAATCCAGCTTCACAGCTGAAGACAACTGCTGCTACCCCCTCAAGAAACGGCCAGATCTACATCTACAGTTTTGTTTCTAAAGCATAAAAACCATGACCATGAAGTTGCACATTAATAATAACAGTCTAGACCATAGGTTACCACTCTTGGTCCTTGCATCACACACCTGCTGATCTGCATGCTTGCAGAGTGCAGTTACGTGCTGGGAAAATTAAATGAACTAAAAAGGTTTTTCCCCAACCCCACTCAAAAACGCGGAATTTCATGTTACTCATGAAATGTGACAAGTAAATGGCAGCTCTCAACATTTTTAAGTGCTGAAAATAATCAAACAGTTCACATTAATCCTTTTATTAAGTCAATGAAGGGTCCGAATGGGCAACAGACCCAGTAAGAAACCCAGCATGTGTGGTCCCCCAGAATCACGAATAGGAACCCTGTTCCAGACTGAATTTAAGTTTCAACAGACACTTGTGGTGGTGATGTTAATAGCACAGCAGCTGCTGCTAGGTTTGTTCGGTAATAAGCAACACCAGTGTCTAGGTCAGGTCATAGTTACATCAAGAGCTGGTGCATTTAAACACGGATCTTCTCAACACTGTTTTAAGTGCTAACCTCAAATTAATTCGACTTTTTTTTTTACCGACAGTTGCCAACACATTTTGACAGCTCTTTTGGCTTTCCATATGAATATATTTCTTGGGGCAGCAGTGTGTGCCGGTATTGAGGTGCTCTGTTACCTTGTACGCTGCGTTGGGCAGCAGGTTATTCATGGTGAACCAGCCCAGCTCCAGAAGATGCTCCGCAGTGTCATCTGACTTATTCAGCTGCAGAAACACACACAACAAAACTCACAACAGCTGCTCCACCTTAAACACCTGTATAAATCAATTCATCTCAGGTGCCGACTTAGCAAACACTCTTTGAAACAAATCATGCACAGAGCTATCGGAATCTGTCCTGGCCTGGAACAGTCCTCGAACCTTCTCACAGAGACTGGGGCATTGTGAGGACTAAACACGCCTGTTTTGCAGTCCTAGATTGAGAATAATATAAAGAGATGTGAAGAACATCAAGGCATGCAAACCAAAAATGCCAGCTACGGTTGTAATGATGCCTACACACATGGATCAAGGCACCTGGGAGTAAAGCCATTCTGATCCGAGCGCCAGGGGTAAATTCTACCAGTCCTCGGGCATCCGGGCAAAGGAACATCCCGGGCCGCCTGTGGATGCCCTGGGAATCGCGGAGTTTGAACACTGGAGGTACCTTGCTGTACATGAACCTCTGCAGCTCCAGCTCGGCGATGCCCAGCTGCCCGTCCTCCTCCGTGAGGCGCCAGCGCGCCTGGGCGAAGTAGATCTCGGTGCGGCGCACCACGCTCACGTCCTCCGGCGGCTTGCGCAGCTCCAGCTTGTTGGCGCGCTGCAGCTGGAAGTCCTTGAAGCACCTGGGGAGGAAGAGGAGAGTGGGCGTGGAGAGGGGGTTAGGGGTGGAGCGGGGGATAGCGGCCGAGGGACTGGCCAAGTCCACACAGAGGGCTCCCCCATAGGAGAGAGCAGGGCGGGGGCGCAGCCTCTGTGCGCCTGCGGCGTCAGGTTCGAGGCCTCTGGCCCGGGCAGTCGCATTCCCACCTGATCAGTATGTTCAGCTCCTCGCTCTTCATCTGCATGTCCACCTTCTCCTGGTTGAGCTGGTCCTGCAGCTTCCGGTTGATGTCGGACAGCTCGTCATTCCTCACCTCGTCTTGCTGGGACTAAAAGCACAGGTCAGGACAGGGGGGAGGGGGGAGGGGTCAGACAGAGGAACAACGCCGCCCTCTCCTGGTCAGCACAGCCTACTACTGCTCAAGCCCCAAAAGATCTCCAACTCGGCAGCAGTTTCATCCCTACAGTACAGCCCACACACAACCAAGCAGAGATCCTGTATACACTGACTCACGAACAGGAGAACTACTGAAACATTAAAACACCTTATTCTCTTGGGATCCCCACGATCAATTTTGCCATAATTACTACAGGAGGTCATTCTTGCCTTCTGCCATAAGACTGTACAACACATCCACCTTGCGTCTGGGCAGAGGCAACACTGACAGTGACCTGTTTCTGGACTGAACAGTAAACTGATACATCTGTT